TCAGTGAATTGAGTATTGATAAAATGAACATGGTGAATTGTCAGTGAAATGCAGTGTCTACGAAACGGTTTTTTTTTCTTTTTTTTTTTTTTTATATTTTCCTGTTCATTGTTTTGCACGATGACGTCCGCAACTATCCAGTTAAAAATTCTATATTGCACCTTTACTATATATTTTTTTGTTTTAAAAAGCACTAATTCCTGAAAATTATGTATGAAAAATTTTTATTAACAATACGTTCAGAAATTTAGAAAAATTAAAAGTAAGGAAAATTCAGATAACACGAAACAACTTGTACTAAATATAAAAAATTTATATACTGTACCTTTAGAAAGCAAATCAGTACCTTCATTTCAGATAAAATATTAAAACAGCATAAAAATTAGTAATCAACAAAATTATAGTAATAGCATAGTAGTTCTTGTAATTAATTTATTTATTTGCATAACTAAATTCTTGAAGATAGCAGAGTTTAATGAACTCGAATTTTCACTCGATCCAATAAACTGGTTCGTATTCTAAAGATTTCAAGCTAGTAAGAATTTTTTCCGTTTCAGGTCGTCCAGAAGGATCTCCATCCCAACATTTAGAGTATAAGTCAATATATTGTAAAGGAGTTCCTTCTATGGGCATTTCTCGTGTACCTTTAGCAATTTTACGAAAAAAAGAAACTGATTCCTTCTCTTCTTCAAAAGGTTCTCTGCAGCTTGAAAGTTCCCAAAGAAGAACACCAATACTATATACATCTGACTTTTCATTCAGAACGTACCCTTCCTTGATAAACCTTTGAGGATCAACATAAGGAAATATCCCCATAACATTACTTTTAGATGACATTTTACTATTGAGATCTTTTGATAAGCCAAAATCAGAGATTTTTATGCTTCCATTATGAATAAGGACGTTCTTCGAATGCTAACAAAATTATATTACTTGTTAGTTTAAAATAACTTTAAATAAATTATTTTAAACAATGCATACCAAGTCGCGATGAATGATCTTCTTACTGTGTAAATAATATATTCCTTCAACTATTTGTACTGCTAATTCAATTTTCTTTTTCCAGGAATGCTTAGCAGTATTTACAACGGTTTTCAAATATTCCCGTAAAGTTCCACCCTCTGCGTACTCCATCAAAAGGTAGTAAGGTCCATGATTATAACCTTTATCGTGATTAAATATTAATAAAAGTATACATTTACATGAAAAAGATATAAAATCACAAATCATTACTTATTCCATAAAATTGGATAATTCGTGGATGTGAAATTTGACTATGTAATTTTAACTAATTAAGCATTATAGGTGTTGAAAATTATATAAATGTGTAGTTTTGTGATTATTGATATTGATATACTAATATAATATCTTCACTAAACCTTTACAACACAAACCTCGTTAAGAAACGTTTTAATTTGTTTTTCATCTTCATCTTTTTTAATGTATATTTCTTTCACAGCAACCTTTTCACTCAGTATTGAGTTGCAAGAAGTCCAATATACATTTCCAAATCCACCACGGTCTATAAATTCCAATTCTCCAAGATTATCATAAGATATTTCCTTCAATTTATAGTTATTAATTGCAATATGAAACCAATTTTTGGTGACAGCTGTCAATGGTATGTCTATAAGTTATAAATAATTTGTTAATAAAAATGTTCATTTTTTAAAATTCACAAAAAGATGCCTATCTCATTAAATTTTACAAAATAAATAATTTATTACGGTAATTAAAAAAAATAAATCTATACTTTTATGCAAAAT